CGCCTCCATGTGCATGAACAGCATGAGCGAGTTCACACTGCTGGACGCTGATGGAAAGCCCCGCGAGGACCCTCGCTTCGAGGCCGTGGAGCACTTCGGCATCGGCTGGTTCACGCTCGAGCTGCTGGCCAGATTCACTGTGGCGCCGGACCTCCTGCGTTTCTTCGAGCACCCGCTGAACCTGATCGACCTGGTGTCCATCCTGCCCTTTTACTTGACCCTGCTGATGCACCTGGTGGCGGAGAGCGGCCCGGCGCTGGCGAACCTGGGCCGAGTGGCTCAGGTGCTGAGGCTGATGAGGGTCTTCCGCATCCTGAAGCTGGCGCGTCACTCCACGGGCCTGCGCTCGCTCGGAGCCACGCTCAAGAACAGCTACAAAGAGATCGGCCTGCTGCTGCTGTATCTGGGCGTCGGAGTGTCCTTCTTCTCCGTCATGGCCTACACCGTGGAGAAGGAGGACAACGAGGGACTGAACACCATCCCGGCCGGCTGGTGGTGGGCCACGGTCAGCATGACCACCGTGGGTTACGGCGATGTGGTTCCCGGCTCTGTCGTGGGTAAACTGACCGCCTCGGCCTGCATACTGGCGGGAATACTGGTCGTGGTGCTTCCGATCACTTTGATATTTAACAAATTCTCTCTGTTTTATAAGAGACAGAAACAGCTGGAGACCGTCATGCGGAGCTGTGACTTCGACGGGGGAGTAAAGGAGGCTCCGTCTGTGAATCTGAGGAATTATTATGCTCATAAAGTCAAAACACTGATGGCCAGTCTGTCCAACATGAGCCGCAGTTCACCCAGCGATCACAGTCTAAACGTGTCTCTGCATTAGACGGGAACAGTGTGATGTCAGCGTGGTGTTTGTGTGTGTTTGCATCATGGATCTCGCACCTGATTCTGCTCTTCGTAGCGAGACACGCAAAGCATCTGATAAGTGGTTAAAGTAATGATGTGTGTTTATGCAGGCAGGAATGGGACCCTCAATGAATCAACTTCTTCACCTGTGTTTTCTCTCAGCTTTCTCTCCCGTTGCCCAGCATGCACAGCGGCTTCATTTAGTTCCAGGGAACACGTGTCTATGTTAATGGAAGCTGTTGCCTCATTGGGTGTTAGCGCTGAATCTCTCCTGGTTGCCACTATATATATATATATATATGTGTGTGTATGTGTGTGTGTGTGTGTGTGTTTGTGTGTGTGTGTGTGTGTGTGCAGAGAGTTTTCTGTATCTCTGTTATCCATTAAGGAAAAACAATTGTAGTGAGTAGATTTAATATGCTGATTTTGAAAATGCTGATACTATTTTGAGAAGCAAGGTCATCCAGGTAAATCTTCCTGTGACAGCAGGCCATCTGAAATAACCTTTGAAACTAATTATTTTCAGTTAAGTTTTGTTGCTTTTGAATGAATTGAATCTGTAAGGTAAACCAAATGTTCTATTCTACAGCTATCAGTGGTTATCAGTCAAGTTATCGTTCTTCTTTTGTTAATATTGCTGTTGTTTAATTTGAATTGTAAATGCAGAATGTGATCCTGGCGGATGGGGTCAGAGGTCGTACATCGTGCTGCACTCAGACAGTGCATGGCTCACATGTAAATGTCATTTATATATGTGTGTGTGTGTGTGTGTGTGTGTCATAATGAGTTGTTTTCTTGTGGATGATAAGACAGAATCAGACTCATTACAGAATGTAATAACTTCTGAATCGGGTAATAATGAGCACAAATGTGTTTGTGACCTGTGTGGATTTGTGACATATTTCTAGCTCATCGTTTTTTTCATGTTTTTAAGATCACAGATATCTTTTTAGCATTGTGGCACTATTTTCATTAAACATTTACCCCCAAAGTCTTATAACTCTAATGTGGAATAAAGTAATTGTCGATGTTGGCTGTACTGCCCTTATTTTATACAACAAATCATTGGAAAAATACTTTGCAGTGAGAAGAATCTAATGAAAACCATAATTTAAATCATGGCAATTACATGACACTTAAGCACATTGTCTGAATGCATTACAGTAATGAAAATGTTCTGTTTTACTCGTTTTGCTGTGTGACAGGAGTATGGTCCTGCATGAAAATTGCTTGCCGATTGTGCGAAGAATGCAGGGAAGGAACTGTATATTGCTGCAGGAGGTTCTGATAAACATTTGCATGCACCCTGAAGACATCCCCAAACCATGACTCTTTCTCCTCCACCTTTCACTGACTTCTTACACACTTGGGGTTCAGTCTTTCCCCAGTTTAATGCCAAACAAAATGTTTCCTATTGGACCCAAATAAATTAAACTTGCTTTCATCACTAAAGTGAATATTGGACCAGTCCTCCTCTCTCCACACAACATGCTCCTCAGCAAAGGTGAGTCTAGCCCTTTGATTCTCTCCGCTGATGAGAGGTTTGGTCACTGCAGAGTGCATTTTCTATCCGACATCTCTTAAAAGTCG